AAAGGAGAGTGTGTGTACAGGAGTGTGTGTACAGGAGAGTGTGTACAGGAGAGTGTGTACAGGAGAGTGTGTACAGAGAGTGTGTACAGGAGAGTGTGTACAGGAGAGTGTGTACAGGAGAGAGTGTGTACAGGAGAGTGTGTACAGGAGAGTGTGTACAGGAGAGTGTGTACAGGAGAGTGTGTACAGGAGAGTGTGTACAGGAGAGTGTGTACAGGAGAGAGTGTGTACAGGAGAGTGTGTACAGGAGTGTGTACAGGAGAGAGTGTGTACAGGAGAGAGTGTACAGGAGTGTGTGTACAGGAGAGAGTGTGTACAGGAGTGTGTACAGGAGAGTGTGTACAGGAGAGAGTGTGTACAGGAGAGAGTGTGTACAGGAGTGTGTACAGGAGAGTGTGTGTACAGGAGTGTGTGTACAGGAGTGTGTGTACAGGAGAGAGTGTGTACAGGAGAGTGTGTGTACAGGAGAGTGTGTACAGGAGAGAGTGTGTACAGGAGAGAGTGTGTACAGGAGAGAGTGTGTACAGGAGAGAGTGTGTACAGGAGAGTGTGTGTACAGGAGAGAGTGTGTACAGGAGTGTGTGTACAGGAGAGTGTGTGTACAGGAGAGTGTGTGTACAGGAGAGTGTACAGGAGAGTGTGTGTACAGGAGAGTGTGTGTACAGGAGAGAGTGTGTACAGGAGAGTGTGTGTACAGGAGAGAGTGTGTACAGGAGTGTGTGTACAGGAGAGTGTGTGTACAGGAGAGTGTGTGTACAGGAGAGTGTGTACAGGAGAGTGTGTGTACAGGAGAGTGTGTGTACAGGAGAGTGTGTGTACAGGAGAGTGTGTACAGGAGTGTGTGTACAGGAGAGTGTGTGTACAGGAGAGTGTGTGTACAGGAGAGTGTGTACAGGAGAGTGTGTGTACAGGAGAGTGTGTGTACAGGAGAGAGTGTGTACAGGAGAGTGTGTGTACAGGAGAGTGTGTACAGGAGAGTGTGTACAGGAGTGTGTGTACAGGAGAGTGTGTGTACAGGAGAGTGTGTACAGGAGAGTGTGTGTACAGGAGAGTGTGTGTACAGGAGAGTGTGTGTACAGGAGAGTGTGTGTACAGGAGAGTGTGTACAGGAGAGTGTGTGTACAGGAGAGTGTGTACAGGAGAGTGTGTACAGGAGTGTGTGTACAGGAGAGTGTGTACAGGAGAGTGTGTACAGGAGAGTGTGTACAGGAGAGTGTGTACAGGAGAGTGTGTACAGGAGTGTGTACAGGAGTGTGTACAGGAGTGTGTACAGGAGTGTGTACAGGAGAGAGTGTGTACAGGAGAGAGTGTGTACAGGAGAGAGTGTGTACAGGAGAGTGTGTACAGGAGAGTGTGTACAGGAGAGAGTGTGTACAGGAGAGTGTGTACAGGAGTGTGTACAGGAGAGTGTGTACAGGAGTGTGTGTACAGGAGAGAGTGTACAGGAGAGAGTGTGTACAGGAGAGAGTGTGTACAGGAGAGAGTGTGTACAGGAGAGTGTGTACAGGAGAGTGTGTACAGGAGAGTGTGTACAGGAGTGTGTACAGGAGAGAGTGTGTACAGGAGAGAGTGTGTACAGGAGTGTGTACAGGAGAGAGTGTGTACAGGAGAGTGTGTACAGGAGAGAGTGTGTACAGGAGAGAGTGTGTACAGGAGAGTGTGTACAGGAGAGTGTGTGTACAGGAGAGTGTGTACAGGAGAGAGTGTGTACAGGAGAGTGTGTACAGGAGAGAGTGTGTACAGGAGAGAGTGTGTACAGGAGAGAGTGTGTACAGGAGAGAGTGTGTACAGGAGAGAGTGTGTACAGGAGAGAGTGTGTACAGGAGAGAGTGTGTACAGGAGAGTGTGTGTACAGGAGAGAGTGTGTACAGGAGAGAGTGTGTACAGGAGAGTGTGTGTACAGGAGAGTGTGTGTACAGGAGAGTGTGTACAGGAGAGAGTGTGTACAGGAGAGAGTGTGTACAGGAGAGAGTGTGTACAGGAGAGAGTGTGTACAGGAGAGAGTGTGTACAGGAGAGTGTGTACAGGAGAGAGTGTGTACAGGAGAGTGTGTACAGGAGAGTGTGTACAGGAGTGTGTGTACAGGAGAGTGTGTACAGGAGAGTGTGTGTACAGGAGAGTGTGTACAGGAGAGAGTGTGTACAGGAGAGTGTGTGTACAGGAGAGTGTGTACAGGAGAGTGTGTACAGGAGAGAGTGTGTACAGGAGAGTGTGTACAGGAGAGTGTGTACAGGAGAGTGTGTACAGGAGAGTGTGTACAGGAGAGTGTGTACAGGAGAGTGTGTACAGGAGAGTGTGTACAGGAGAGAGTGTGTACAGGAGAGAGTGTGTACAGGAGAGAGTGTGTACAGGAGAGAGTGTGTACAGGAGAGTGTGTACAGGAGAGTGTACAGGAGAGTGTGTACAGGAGAGAGTGTACAGGAGAGTGTGTGTACAGGAGAGAGTGTACAGGAGAGAGTGTGTACAGGAGAGTGTGTGTACAGGAGAGTGTGTGTACAGGAGAGAGTGTACAGGAGAGTGTGTGTACAGGAGAGAGAGTGTGTACAGGAGAGTGTGTGTACAGGAGAGAGAGTGTGTACAGGAGAGTGTGTGTACAGGAGAGAGTGTGTACAGGAGAGAGTGTGTACAGGAGAGAGTGTGTACAGGAGAGTGTGTGTACAGGAGAGTGTGTACAGGAGAGAGTGTGTACAGGAGAGTGTGTACAGGAGAGAGTGTACAGGAGAGTGTGTGTACAGGAGAGTGTGTACAGGAGAGAGTGTACAGGAGAGTGTGTGTACAGGAGAGAGTGTGTACAGGAGAGTGTGTACAGGAGAGTGTGTACAGGAGAGAGTGTGTACAGGAGAGTGTGTACAGGAGAGTGTGTGTACAGGAGAGTGTGTACAGGAGAGTGTACAGGAGAGAGTGTACAGGAGAGAGTGTGTACAGGAGTGTGTGTACAGGAGAGAGTGTGTACAGGAGTGTGTGTACAGGAGAGTGTGTACAGGAGAGAGTGTACAGGAGAGTGTGTACAGGAGAGTGTGTGTACAGGAGAGAGTGTACAGGAGAGTGTGTACAGGAGTGTGTGTACAGGAGAGAGTGTGTACAGGAGAGTGTGTACAGGAGAGAGTGTGTACAGGAGTGTGTGTACAGGAGAGAGTGTACAGGAGAGAGTGTACAGGAGAGAGTGTGTACAGGAGAGTGTACAGGAGAGAGTGTGTACAGGAGAGAGTGTGTACAGGAGAGAGTGTGTACAGGAGAGAGTGTACAGGAGAGTGTGTACAGGAGAGAGTGTGTACAGGAGAGTGTGTACAGGAGAGAGTGTACAGGAGAGTGTACAGGAGAGAGTGTACAGGAGAGAGTGTGTACAGGAGAGAGAGTGTGTACAGGAGAGTGTGTACAGGAGAGTGTACAGGAGAGAGTGTGTACAGGAGAGAGAGTGTGTACAGGAGAGTGTACAGGAGTGTGTGTACAGGAGAGTGTACAGGAGAGTGTACAGGAGAGTGTACAGGAGAGTGTGTACAGGAGAGTGTGTACAGGAGAGTGTACAGGAGAGAGTGTGTACAGGAGAGTGTGTACAGGAGTGTGTGTACAGGAGAGTGTGTACAGGAGAGAGTGTGTACAGGAGAGTGTGTACAGGAGTGTGTACAGGAGAGTGTGTACAGGAGAGTGTGTACAGGAGAGTGTGTACAGGAGAGTGTGTACAGGAGAGAGTGTGTACAGGAGAGAGTGTGTACAGGAGAGTGTGTGTACAGGAGAGTGTGTACAGGAGAGAGTGTGTACAGGAGAGAGTGTGTACAGGAGAGAGTGTGTACAGGAGAGAGTGTGTACAGGAGTGTGTGTACAGGAGAGTGTGTGTACAGGAGAGTGTGTACAGGAGTGTGTGTACAGGAGAGTGTGTACAGGAGAGTGTGTGTACAGGAGTGTGTGTACAGGAGAGTGTGTGTACAGGAGAGTGTGTGTACAGGAGAGTGTGTGTACAGGAGTGTGTGTACAGGAGTGTGTGTACAGGAGAGAGTGTGTACAGGAGAGTGTGTGTACAGGAGTGTGTGTACAGGAGAGTGTGTGTACAGGAGAGTGTGTACAGGAGAGTGTGTGTACAGGAGAGTGTGTACAGGAGTGTGTGTACAGGAGAAGGTGTTGTACAGGAGTGTGTAGGGAGTGGTTTGTACAGGAGTGTGTGTACAGGAGTGTTGTACGGAGTAGTGTGTATACAGGAGTGTGTTGTAGCAGATGTGTGTACAGGAGTGTGTGTACAGGAGATGTGTGTACAGGAGAGTGTGTGTACAGAGAGTGTACATAGAGTTTGTACAGGAGTGTGTGAACAGAGAGTGTGTGAACAGAGAGTGTGTACAGAGTGTGTGTACAGGAGAGTGTGTACAGAGATGTGTGGTCAGAGATGTGTACGGAGTGTGTGTGTACAGGAGAGTGTGTCAGGAGTGTGTACAGGAGTGTGTGTGAGCAGAGTGTGTGTACAGAGAGTGTGTGAACAGAGAGTGTGTGTACAGGAGTGTGTGTACAGAGTGTGTGTACAGGAGAGAGTGTGTACAGGAAGAGAGTGTGTACAGGAGAGTGTGTACAGGAGAGAGTGTACAGGAGAGTGTGGTAAGGAGAGTGTGTGTACAGGAGAGTGTGTGTACAGGAGAGTGTGTGTACAGGAGAGTGTGTGTACAGGAGAGTGTGTACAGGAGAGTGTGTGTACAGGAGAGTGTGTGTACCTGGAGGATGGTCTCGAAGTTGAAGGTGAGTCCGTTCCACAGGGTGAACTCCCCGCTGGAGGCTCCGGTGACGAGCCGGCGGCCCTCAGGGGTCCACTGCAGGGAACAGGAGGTAAACAACAACAGGTCAGTAACCAACAGTGTATAATAACACTAACCCTGCAGGTCAGATAGCTAACTGCAGCATCAGGTCTCTAACCAGCTCTCTGCAGAACATCTGGAGCATCTATATCTCATATCCCTTTGCTTGGAGACAGACTCTTTGTCTCACGTGCACATCTCATTCTCTTTGTCTCACGTGCACATCTCATTCTCTTTGTCTCACGTGCACATCTCATTCTCTTTGTCTCACGTGCACATCTCATTCTCTTTGTCTCACGTGCACATCTCATTCTCTTTGTCTCACGTGCACATCTCATTCTCTTTGTCTCACGTGCACATCTCATTCTCTTTGTCTCACGTGCACATCTCATTCTCTTTGTCTCACGTGCACATCTCATTCTCTATGTCTCACGTGCACATCTCATTCTCTTTGTCTCACGTGCACATCTCATTCTCTTTGTCTCACGTGCACATCTCATTCTCTTGCTCTATGTGATGTATATATATCCATGTTGCTCTGCTGGAGGACTTCAGTGTGTCATCTCCATCTCTCCTCTGTAGCTGCTGAGCTCCTGGTGCTGAGAGAGACTTGAATTGTAATAGTATATATATCTCACGACTCACCCTGATCACAAACACGGGACACTTCACTTTGTTGGTAGAGGTTCGGACAAACTTGGTGGTGACGGCGTTCATCGAGTTGTTCACCATCCCCACAGGAGGAACCAGCTGAAACACACACACACACACACACACACACACCACACACCACACACACACACACACAACACACACACACACACACACACACACCACACACACACCACCACACACACCCACACACACACACACACACACACACACACACCACACACACACACACACACACACACACACACACACACACACACACACACACACACAACACACACAACACCAACACACACACACCACACACACACACACACACACACACACACACACACACACACACACACACACACACACACGTTATCATCACACGGATATTACAACACACACAACCTCATTTCCAATGTTTGGACTGATACTGTAAATACAATAGGATTCAAGACACTGGATCTGTACCAGACAAGGAGCGTGACGACCCTGTGACAGGATGTGCTGCATACACCTGGCTGCTACAGGATGTGCTGCATACACCTGGCTGCTACAGGATGTGCTGCATACACCTGGCTGCTACAGATGTGCTGCATACACCTGGCTGCTACAGGATGTGCTGCATACACCTGGCTGCTACAGGATTGCATACACCTGGCTGCTACAGGATGTGCTGCATACACCTGGCTGCTACAGGATGTGCTGCATACACCTGGCTGCTACAGGATGTGCTGCATACACCTGGCTGCTACAGGATGTGCTGCATACACCTGGCTGCTACAGGATGTGCTGCATACACCTGGCTGCTGCAGGATGTGCTGTATACACCTGGCTGCTCCATCTCTAGAACTACAGGATGTGCTGCATACACCTGGCTGCTCCATCTCTAGAACTACAGGATGTGCTGTATACACCTGGCTGCTCCATCTCCTGAACTACAGGATGTGCTGCATACACCTGGCTGCTCCATCTCCTGAACTACAGGATGTGCTGTATACACCTGGCTGCTCCATCTCCTGAACTACAGGATGTGCTGCATACACCTGGCTGCTACAGGATGTGCTGCATACACCTGGCTGCTACAGGATGTGCTGCATACACCTGGCTGCTACAGGATGTGCTGCATACACCTGGCTGCTACAGGATGTGCTGCATACACCTGGCTGCTACAGGATGTGCTGCATACACCTGGCTGCTACAGGATGTGCTGTATACACCTGGCTGCTACAGGATGTGCTGTATACACCTGGCTGCTACAGGATGTGCTGCATACACCTGGCTGCTACAGGATGTGCTGCATACACCTGGCTGCTGCAGGATGTGCTGTATACACCTGGCTGCTGCAGGATGTGCTGTATACACCTGGCTGCTCCATCTCTAGAACTACAGGATGTGCTGCATACACCTGGCTGCTCCATCTCTAGAACTACAGGATGTGCTGTATACACCTGGCTGCTCCATCTCCTGAACTACAGGATGTGCTGTATACACCTGGCTGCTCCATCTCCTGAACTACAGGATGTGCTGCATACACCTGGCTGCTCCATCTCCTGAACTACAGGATGTGCTGCATACACCTGGCTGCTCCATCTCCTGAACTACAGGATGTGCTGCATACACCTGGCTGCTCCATCTCCTGAACTACAGGATGTGCTGCATACACCTGGCTGCTGCAGGATGTGCTGTATACACCTGGCTGCTACAGGATGTGTATTTTGTAAACTATCATTTGTATATGTTTGAATGCTTCTGAGGTAACATCAAGCTGTCCGTGGCTCTGTTCTGCTGTAACAGATGTGCCCTCTGAAGGAGGAATAAAGGGATGCTGATTCTGTAGAGTAATCTCTGCATCAGTAATCACAGGTGATGAGCGAATCAGAGAGCAGCAGAGATCACAGGTGATGAGCGAATCAGAGAGCAGCTGAGATCACAGGTGATGAGCGAATCAGAGAGCAGCAGAGATCACAGGTGATGAGCGAATCAGAGAGCAGCTGAGATCACAGGTGATGAGCGAATCAGAGAGCAGCAGAGATCACAGGTGATGAGCAAATCAGAGAGCAGCAGAGATCACAGGTGATGAGCGAATCAGAGAGCAGCTGAGATCACAGGTGATGAGCGAATCAGAGAGCAGCTGAGATCACAGGTGATGAGCGAATCAGAGAGCAGCTGAGATCACAGATGATGAGTAAGAGAAGGTTAATTAATCGTCACGTTCTCACCTCGTTGTAACAGCCAGCGTCCGGCTGCAGCGCCCTGAAGTCTCTGTGGTCGCGCTGCCACAGACGGTTCTGCAACACACACACACACACTGTTTCACTGGAGCTGCACGACACACACACACTTTCACTGAAGCTGCCACACACACACACTTTCACTGAAGCTGCTACACACACACACTTTCACTGAAGCTGCCACACACACACACTTTCACTGAAGCTGCTACACACACACACTTTCACTGAAGCTGCCACACACACTTTCACTGAAGCTGCTACACACACACACTTTCACTGAAGCTGCCACACACACACTTTCACTGAAGCTGCCACACACACACACTTTCACTGAAGCTGCTACACACACACACTTTCACTGAAGCTGCCACACACACTTTCACTGAAGCTGCTACACACACACACTTTCACTGAAGCTGCCACACACACTTTCACTGAAGCTGCCACACACACTTTCACTGAAGCTGCCACACACACTTTCACTGAAGCTGCCACACACACTTTCACTGAAGCTGTTAGTGATGGACAGGTGAACAGGTGAGTGTTTACCTCCAGGTGTCTGATGACAGAGGGGTTAGTGATGGACAGGTGAGTGTTTACCTCCAGGTGTCTGATGACAGAGGGGTTAGTGATGGACAGGTGAGTGTTTACCTCTCAGGTGTCTGATGACAGAGGGGTCGTGATGGACAGGTGAACAGTTGAGTGTTTACCTCCAGGTGTCTGATGACAGAGGGGTTAGTGATGGACAGGTTGAGCTGTTTACCTCCAGGGTGTCTGATGACGAGGGGTTAGTGATGGACAGGTGAGTGTTTACCCTCCAGGTGTCTGATGAAGAGGGGTTAGTGATGGACAGGTGAGTGTTTACCTCCAGGTGTCTGATGACAGAGGGGTAGTGATGGACTGTGAACAGGTGAGTGTTTACCCCATGGTGTCTGATGGACAGAGGGGTTAGTGATGGACAGGTAGGTAGTGTTTACCTCCAGGTGTCTGATGACAGAGGGGTTAGTGATGGACAGGTGAGTGTTTACCTCCAGGTTGTCTGATGACAGAGGGGGTTAGTGATGGACAGGTGAACAGGTGAGTGTTTACCTCCAGGTGTCTGATGACAGAGGGGTTAGTGATGGACAGGTGAGTGTTTACCTCCAGGTGTCTGATGACAGAGGGGTTAGTGATGGACAGGTGAACAGGTGAGTGTTTACCTCCAGGTGTCTGATGACAGAGGGGTTAGTGATGGACAGGTGAACAGGTGAGTGTTTACCTCCAGGTGTCTGATGACAGAGGGGTTAGTGATGGACAGGTGAGTGTTTACCTCCAGGTGTCTGATGACAGAGGGGTTAGTGATGGACAGGTGAGTGTTTACCTCCAGGTGTCTGATGACAGAGGGGTTAGTGATGGACAGGTGAGTGTTTACCTCCAGGTGTCTGATGACAGAGGGGTTAGTGATGGACAGGTGAACAGGTGAGTGTTTACCTCCAGGTGTCTGATGACAGAGGGGTTAGTGATGGACAGGTGAACAGGTGAGTGTTTACCTCCAGGTGTCTGATGACAGAGGGGTTAGTGATGGACAGGTGAACAGGTGAGTGTTTACCTCCAGGTGTCTGATGACAGAGGGGTTAGTGATGGACAGGTGAACAGGTGAGTGTTTACCTCCAGGTGTCTGATGACAGAGGGGTTAGTGATGGACAGGTGAACAGGTGAGTGTTACCTCCAGGTGTCTGATGACAGAGGGGTTAGTGATGGACAGGTGAACAGGTGAGTGTTTACCTCCAGGTGTCTGATGACAGAGGGTTAGTGATGGACAGGTGAACAGGTGAGTGTTTACCTCCAGGTGTCTGATGACAGAGGGGTTAGTGATGGACAGGTGAACAGGTGAGTGTTTACCTCCAGGTGTCTGATGACAGAGGGGTTGTAGTCGATGGTCTTGCGGTTCACAGCCTTCCTCATGCGCTTCCCGTCGAAGGTGAGCTGCTGCATCGCCTGCTGCTGGGCGAAGTCCGGCCTCTTGTAGAACACCTGCCGCGGAGCCTGGTGCTGGAAGCGCGGCATGTGGAAGAAGCGCTGCGGGGAACCGATGTCCGTCGCCATGGTGACTCTCTGTACCTGCAGGGGGGGACAGGTGGGTTAGAGCATAGATATATATAAACACTAGATGGCTCAAGGGGGAGTCGCAAGCGTAGCTCACCGGCGGCCATCTTGCCACACAGTCAACAACTACTGCTCCAGCTGCTGTAAGGCGAGTGATCTTAAGGGGTACTCTGAACTCGCTGAAACCTTGACTGATTTACAAACGGTTTGGTTTATTATAAACGTTATTAGCATGGCTATGATACAGGAGACAACAAGACATGTTGAAAAAAAAAGTTCATGATTATAATTATAAGTATGCATTATCATAACTACATATTTGATGTTTATAAAAAACCAAACCGTTTGAAAATTGAGCAATCTACGGTTATTTCAATAGTGCACCAGAGACAGAGGGTGTTTCTCAATGTCGAGTAAAGCTGCTTCAGAGCCACTATTTCAAGCATGCTACGTCATCGAGTGCCTCCGAAGTACTGTTCCAATCTCCAGCATACTTGGAAATCTACCGAGCCCGGCGTACTCCGTTTGGAGAAATATCGAGGCTGCACATGAGTAGACTCCGCGGTCTTAAAATCCCCACAATGCTTTGCGCACGGACCAATTTCCCCAAATCTGTGGCGGAAGATGTAAGAGGCGGGGCCTCTCATATGACGCACACCTGCACACTTGCTAGCCTGTTCCACTCTTTGTTTTCCAAATGTCAGGAAGTATTCTTGACTCGCTTCTGAAGCAAGATGCTCGGCAGACATGTGCTACCAAGCAAGCGTACTCGTGATTGAGAAACACCCACAATGTTATGAATGAGGGAGCTGCCTGTGGCAAGATGGCCGCCATGTGGCAACGTCGGTCTCCATTGGCCAGCAGCGCGGGTGAGTCATCTAGTGTTTATATATATCTATGGGTTAGAGTATGGTGTTAGATCAATCAGGAGCTTTAAACAGCTAATGTTGGGCTATAAAGGAACTACAGCACGGTCACATGACTTCACGTCACCACCGCTAAGCTAAAGGTGGCTAATGTTGGGCTATAAAGGAACTACAGCACGGTCACATGACTTCACGTCACCACCGCTAAGCTAAGGGTGGCTAATGTTGGGCTATAAAGGAACTACAGCACGGTCACATGACTTCACATCACCACCGCTAAGCTAAAGGAGGCTAATGTTGGGCTATAAAGGAACTACAGCACGGTCACATGACTTCACGTCACCACCGCTAAGCTAATGGAGGCTAATGTTGGGCTATAAAGGAACTACAGCACGGTCACATGACTTCACGTCACCACCGCTAAGCTAAAGGTGGCTAATGTTGGGCTATAAAGGAACTACAGCACGGTCACATGACTTCAAGTCACCACCGCTAAGCTAAAGGAGGCTAATGTTGGGCTATAAAGGAACTACAGCACGGTCACATGACTTCACGTCACCACCGCTAAGCTAAAGGAGGCTAATGTTGGGCTATAAAGGAACTACAGCACGGTCACTGACTTCAAGTCACCACCGCTAAGCTAAAGGAGGCTAATGTTGGGCTATAAAGGAACTACAGCACGGTCACATGACTTCACGTCACCACCGCTAAGCTAAAGGTGGCTAATGTTGGGCTATAAAGGAACTACAGCACGGTCACATGACTTCAAGTCACCACCGCTAAGCTAAAGGAGGCTAATGTTGGGGCTATAAAGGAACTACAGCACCGGTCACATGACTTCACGTCACCACCGCTAAGCTAAAGGGGGGCTAATGTTGGGCTATAAAGGAACTACAGCACGGTCACATGACTTCACGTCACCACCGCTAAGCTAAGGGTGGCTAATGTTGGGCTATAAAGGAACTACAGCACGGTCACATGACTTCACATCACCACCGCTAAGCTAAAGGCGGCTAATGTTGGGCTATAAAGGAACTACAGCACGGTCACATGACTTCACGTCAACACCGCTAAGCTAAAGGAGGCTAATGTTGGGCTATAAAGGAACTACAGCACGGTCACATGACTTCAAGTCACCACCGCTAAGCTAAAGGAGGCTAATGTTGGGCTATAAAGGAACTACAGCACGGTCACATGACTTCACGTCACCACCGCTAAGCTAAAGGTGGCTAATGTTGGGCTATAAAGGAACTACAGCACGGTCACATGACTTCACGTCACCACCGCTAAGCTAAGGGTGGCTAATGTTGGGCTATAAAGGAACTACAGCACGGTAACACATGACTTCACGTCACCACCGCTCAGCTAAAGGCGGCTAATGTTGGGCTATAAAGGAACTACAGCACGGTCACATGACTTCACGTCAACACCGCTAAGCTAAAGGCGGCTAATGTTGGGCTATAAAGGAACTACAGCACGGTCACATGACTTCACGTCAACACCGCTCAGCTAAAGGCGGCTAATGTTGGGCTATAAAGGAACTACAGCACGGTCACATGACTTCACGCCACCACCGCTAAGCTAAAGGCTGCTAATGCTACATTTCATTTATTTTTTCCAAAATCGTGCAGCCCTAAAATGTATTACTGGCTTTGACTAACTGCTGTGTTTTAGATCAATTATGAAGAATAGTTTCCAGAAAAGTAGAAATAAAGACATGTTTCGTGTGACAGCTATCTGCGTGTTCAGCAGCTCCAGAGGAGATGGAGATGACAAACTGAAGTCCTCCAACAGAGCAACATGAATATAATAAAGGACATAGCAAATAAAACAGTGCTTTACTTCAGTACAAGTTCTAGGTCCTTGCACTTCACTTGAGTATTCTCATTATGCTACTTTATACTTTCACTTAACTTCATTATGGAGGTCATGTTTTACTACTCCACTACATTTATTTAACTAATCGAGTTAGTAGCTCCTTCACAGGTGTCGATTTATAATACAGAATATAAATCCTGATGTATTATTATAGGTGAAGCTACCTAGCTAGCTAGCAGTGTATCAGGTCATTCAATAACCCCAACGTTAGGGGCACCACTGACCTACATGCATTCATCATTAGAATGCAAAATGCAATATTTGTAAATCTGATACGGGACAATGGGAACATTTGCAGTTTAAAGTATATTTTTATGCCAATACGTTTGTACTTGAGTCTGTTGAATGCAGGGCTTTGACTCACAGACCATAATAACCTGAGAGGCTCCAACAGCATCCTCTGGGACCCAAAGCATGCTCTGACAGAGAATATGAACTGCTACCATCTGATGGAGATTCACTAAAGTCAGTCTGAAGCATCCTCTGTGCTCCAGTCAGTCTGAAGCATCCTCTGAGCTCCAGTCAGTCTGAAGCATCCTCTGAGCTCCAGTCCTCTCAGTGAACACAGAGCTCCAGATCAGATCACGCTGAAGGCTCTTTGAGCAGCTCTCACTGATCCTGCTGTTATGTTCCATGTTTGTTTCTCATGTGTTGAGTCTTGATGTTTGTCTCTTGATGTTACACATGGAGCTGCTGGGATGCAAGGAGCATCTCAGACTTCATCTGACCATTGAAGTATTATCGTATCGTAGTATCCTGCACGGTAGTTGAGCTACCTGTGCTGAATAGTTTAGCTACCTGAAGTAAAGTCCTGAAGTTCCTGAGGCTGTTTTCATCACCAACGGAAGCACGAGGCTCCACAGCAGCTAGCCGAACAGGTGGCTAACACGGAGCTAACACGGAGCTAACACTGAGCTAACACTGAGCTAACAGTGAAACAGACGGTATGACTGTAATATATATCCGACATATCGCTCGCACTATGGCTGTTTCTGTGATTTTAAGGACAGAACTTCTGTTTGTAAACAACAGCATTGTTTCAAACAGCCCGGGATGCTGCTAACACCATTAGCTCCTGCGGCTAACAAAGCTAACAGAACGCCGGGCTGCTTCTGGTTAAAGAAGCGCTATATACATACATATATATCATATATATATATATATCATATTAAACACCACTTTATTATATGAAAGAACGAACTTTACATACAACGAACTTCACAGGAAAGAAACGGCCAGGAAACTTGTCTCATTGTGAGACTCATGTTACTCTGTTGTTAGCCACTGTTGTTTTCGTTTGTAATTCTTATTTCTGTCACATGTAAACTGTTGGTTTTATTATTATCTACACTGTATTTGCACTATCCAATGTCATTAACCGGAAAGAAGTTCCTTAAATGTTGTAAATTGCAAATGAAAAAGAAAACATCATTAGCTCCTGCGGCTAACGATGCTAACAGGCTAACTGTTAGCTTGTAGCTCATCATGTAAACACACCTCTCTGGTTGTTAGTGGAGATCTCGTGGTATTTAGCAGCAGTAACAGGTGTATTTGGGAGCAGTTTGAGGTGTATTTAGGAGCAGTTTGAGGTGTATTTAGGAGCAGTTTCACGTGTTTTCCAGGTGGTGTTTGTGTGTCTTTAATGTGTTTATCAGATTCAAACCGGTAGCTGTGTGCTAGCAGGAGCTAACCGCGGTGCTCAGAGCTCACCTCAGCCTGCAGATACTCTCTCTGTGTCTCTATCGATCCTCCACAGACTCTCTCTGAGGAAACATGGAAGAAGCTGATTTAATAGATGAATAAAAAGCTCTTTATAACTCCTTCATGACGCTTCTCCTGCTTCTTCTCGGCCTACAGAAAGGCATGCCGGGAGATTCTCACAACGGGCGGGATTGGCCATAGGATTGGCAGGACACAGTGCAGCGTCATCGCGCAAAGCATGCAGGGAAATTGAGTTTTGTGATACAATAACAGAATCTGAATCTGAGGTATAGTGCAGATACAGTAAAGAGAAAAGAGAAGACATACTTTGAGATAAGATATACTTTATTAATGCTAAATTAAATCTAAAAAAAGAGTAGAAAATAAACCGTATTATATAAATTACAGCTAATGCAATATAAAAGTGGGATATTATTTACATTAAGTGAGCAAGAATGGCATATTCAATTAAATATAAATGTGAAATGTACAGTGAGAAGTTATAAGTCCAGCAAAAGATAAAGCAGAGTGAGAAACATGGTATAAACAATATCTAAAATGAAAGAAGCGGCTGGTTCTGTTTGCCAATTGTAAATCAATTGAGAGGAAAACAAAGCGTGTATATTTGAACATGGTACATTGTGATATATTTTCATATATATGCCACATGGTATAAGGTCTGATAATATAGTAGTATATATATTTAATTGTTGTAATAAAACTGTTTGATTCAGTTCTGTTTTTAGTGGCTCCTGTTGTTATTTAGTGAGTTTCTCAAAATCCATATTTTTGAATAAATAAGTGACTTCTCTGATAAAATACAATCTGACTTATTTTATTTATTATGTTTCTTAGATTTCTAAATTAATGTTTGTAAATTAAAATATAAATCCCTTATGTTATATACATTATTATAATCAAAATAAAGTGAGTTTAATCGAATGAATAAATAGGCTGTCAGTTGGCCAAGTAAAGACATTAAGTGACGTCATCGCAGGGCCTGCCCAATCAGAGGAGACTCTCGGCGTCCCCTGACAACAGAGCGCACGAGCTGAGCCAACGGTCGCCGGTAACTGATCAAATCTCCCGTTTCTCCCCGTTGCTCCCCGTTTCTCCCCGTTAAACCTGCGGAAGACCTGCGGACAGACAGCCGGACACACACCTGGGCTCAGAGAACACCTTCCCCTGGACACAGTCACGGTTTGACCCTCCTATCTCACTTCTAGAACTACTTCTGTCACTTTTTACCGGCTAACGGCGGCTAGCTTATGCTACAGCTACATAGCGCAACTATCACTTTGAACTACAAACCGTCAGTTAGATCTAAAAACGGTCAGTTGGAGCTACTATAGGTCCGTTTGAAATACAAACGGTCAGTTTGAGCTACACACGGTCAGTTGGATCTAAAAATTGTCAGTTGGATCTTCAAACTTATTTTATCATGTCTGTTTTCCGATTCTGCTATAATAGAGCTACTGTCAGTTGGAACTACAAACAGTTACTTTGAACTACAAACGGTCAGTTGGAACTACAAACGGCGGTCAGTTGGAACTACAAACAGTCAGTTGGAACTACAAACGGTCAGTTGGAACTGCACACTTGTTTTATAATCACTTTTTACAGGCTAGGCTAGATTCTGCTACAGCTAGATAGAGCAGCTGTCAGTTGGAAACTACAAACGGTCAGTTGGAACTACAAACGGTCAGTTGGAACTACAAACGGTCAGTTGGAACTACAAACGGCGGTCAGTTGGAACTACAGACGGTTTTTAACGGGAGACACTACAGGTGAAGGTGAGATGAACTACCAGGAGCCACCCTGTCTGTTTACAGAGAACTGGACGCAGCAGGACATGCTAAATGTTAAAAGTTAAACTATACTAAAGAGACAGTATAAGATAAGATAAAGTGTACTTTATTGATCTGAAATTGGGATTTGTTTTGTGTTGCAGCAGCATAAAAGACAAGGCATTGCACATCAGTAGCAATTAAAAGAGTATAAATAAGCTATTCTAAAATTGAAACATCTCAAAATATGTCCTAGGTATGTCCTCATTTGCATGTATTTATATTATTATATGTGATAAAGCCAGGTTCTTGTTCCATGTTGTCCTCATGTTACAGTCAGGGCTTTCTCTCTGAATCAGTCCATACATCAGAACACCCTGCCATAAACTCATTCCCTGCATGTGTGTGAATGGTGTGTGTATCACAATACTCTGGTGTGTGTGAGGTTTCTGGAGAGAGGAGAGGAAATACATTTGGAGGTAAAAGTCGTAATAATTAGACCAAAAAAGGTTTAACAAAATCAATGAAATTAGAAATGTTCATAGAAAAAGAACAGATATCACCATGAACCCCATTTCTGACATTAACACTATTACTTTTTACATTACAAGTTTACTGACATGTTGTGTTAAATATGCTAATGAGGCATTCTGTAATTCTAATGCTAATAGGAGAAATGTGCAGACACAGAGTTAGATACTCTGCTGGAGGAGGACTCAGAGGTCCTCTCTCCTAAAGTCTGAAGGAGAGAGGACCACTTTGTTTTCATGTTTACACACATTTCATATTGGGATGGGAGCTAACTGCCAACATGACCTTGATGTTATACAGCAGTGTATTTCATATTACGTTCAGTGATTAGTTATTACACTGCAGACAGAAGGACTGCAACTTGTTCACTATTGTTAAGTCTCTGAGGTGTAGAAAATAAAAATGTGTTAATGTCATTACACACCGTTACAGTGATGTGTGTTTGTCCTCAGCAGCAGTGATGAGCAGCAGAAGCCGCAGGGCCTGGTGAGAGCACACACACACACACACACACACACACCTGTATAAAGTATCAGTGTCAGAGGCAGAGTTTAGTTGTTAATTATAATATTAAACTTTATCTATCATCTAACCGCTGTCTCAGCACAAAGAGAAGGAAAGGACGGTTCTCCAGAGGGACAGTACAGAAGCCTTCATGGACAAAAGACGAGGTGGGTGCAGCGCCTCGTTCCTCACACACATACAGGGTCAGGATATTACCATCACTGAATAGCTGACATATCAGTCTGATGATGATGATGGTGATCTTCCTCCTCAGGAGGAGAAGCTGCACAGAGTGGTGAAAGAGTTTGGATCCAACAGCTGGCCTTCAGTGTCCCTGCATCTTAAAGTGAGAAGAGCAGATACACACACACACACACACACACACTCAGAGATAATCCAGCTGCTGAAGTACCGTCTGTGTGTGTGTGTGTGTGTGTCAGAGGTCAGAGGGGGAGTGTCAGCGGCAGTGGCAAAAGATAAAGAATCCTGAGCTGGTGAAAGGGCCGTGGACTCAGACGGAGGACGAGAGGGTAAACACTCAGTGATACACACGTTACACACATTACACACAGTGCAGAGGTCCTCTGTCTCACAGTGCCATCCAGTGGGCCGGCTAGGTACTGCTGAATGTTTAGTTTAAAAAAAGTCACACCTGCTCAGCTCTGAACATGCTCTGTGTTTTTAAAACATCACCGCAGAACAGCTGACTTTTTGAAATTGGAAGATGTTCAGATTTCCAACGTTCACAACATTTTTTATCTCACAAAATATTCTGCTTTAATTCCCTTCATATTAAATGTCACTGCACTCAGAGAACAGTTGGCTCCCTGCTCTCTGCACACAGAGCGAGGCAGCTGTATTAACAGCTGCATACTCTACATGATATATATTATATATACATATTGGTATTGAACCAAACAACTAGAAACACAGACTCTCTGATGACGCCTGCAATATGGAGTCAGACGAGTGTTGGGGAAATCTCTCACAGCGCCGCCCTGATGATCTCAGAGCAGGACTGTTCCTCAGAAGAGTGACGTGGGACACAACCCTGCGCCAGGTAAAGCTCCACACTCTGTTTACCTGTGAGCATGTGATGTCACTTCCTGTGCAGGTCATCGATCTGGTGCAGAATTACGGCGTGAAGCGCTGGTCGCTCATCGCCAAGCACCTGCTGAGCCGCAACGGGAAGCAGTGCCGCGAGCGCTGGCACAACCACCTGAACCCTGCGGTGAAGAAGAGCGGCTGGACGCTGCAGGAGGACCGCATCATCTGCCAGGCGCACAGCATGCTGGGAAACCGCTGGTCCGACATGTCCAAGCTCATGCCCGGCAGGTAGAAACAGTCACAGAAGCTACAGTCGTGCTAATGTTAGCATGTTACTCTGAGGCCTCGCTTCAAATCAGGATGAAATATTTATTCATATTATTTCATACTTTCACTCATAACCAACAGACATCCAATACTATTCAGTTCAACCCTTTAAATGCCACTGCTTTGAAGACAACAGTGGCGTTCTGTAAACAACAGTGGCGTTATGTTCTGTAAACAACAGTGGCGTTATGTAAACAACAGTGGCGTTATGTTCTGTAAACAACAGTGGCGTTATGTAAACAACAGTGGCGTTATGTTCTGTAAACAACAGTGGCGTTATGTAAACAACAGTGGCGTTATGTTCTGTAAACAACAGTGGCGTTATGTAAACAACAGTGGCGTTATGTTCTGTAAACAACAGTGGCGTTATGTAAACAACAGTGGCGTTATGTTCTGTAAACAACAGTGGCGTTATGTTCTGTAAACAACAGTGGCGTTATGTTCTGTAAACAACAGTGGCGTTATGTTCTGTAAACAACAGTGGCGTTCTGTAAACAACAGTGGCGTTATGTTCTGTAAACAACAGTGGCGTTATGTAAACAACAGTGGCGTTATGTTCTGTAAACAACAGTGGCGTTATGTAAACAACAGTGGCGTTATGTTCTGTAAACAACAGTGGCGTTATGTAAACAACAGTGGCGTTATGTTCTGTAAACAACAGTGGCGTTATGTAAACAACAGTGGCGTTATGTTCTGTAAACAACAGTGGCGTTATGTTCTGTAAACAACAGTGGCGTTATGTTCTGTAAACAACAGTGGCGTTCTGTAAACGTTGGTTATGTAAACAACAGTGGCGTTCTGTAAACAACAGTGGCGTTATGTTCTGTAAACAACAGTGGCGTTATGTAAACAACAGTGGCGTTATGTTCTGTAAACAACAGTGGCGTTATGTAAACAACAGTGGCGTTATGTTCTGTAAACAACAGTGGCGTTATGTAAACAACAGTGGCGTTATGTAAACAACAGTGGCGTTATGTTCTGTAAACAACAGTGGCGTTATGTTCTGTAAACAACAGTGGCGTTATGTTCTGTAAACAACAGTGGCGTTATGTTCTGTAAACAACAGTGGCGTTATGTAAACAACAGTGGCGTTATGTAAACAACAGTGGCGTTATGTAAACAACAGTGGCGTTATGTTCTGTAAACAACAGTGGCGTTATGTTCTGTAAACAACAGTGGCGTTATGTTCTGTAAACAATAGTGGCGTTATGTAAACAACAGTGGCGTTATGTTCTGTAAACAACAGTGGCGTTATGTTCTGTAAACAACAGTGGCGTTATGTTCTGTAAACAACAGTGGCGTTATGTAAACAACAGTGGCGTTATGTTCTGTAAACAACAGTGGCGTTATGTAAACAACAGTGGCGTTATGTTATGTAAACAACAGTGGCGTTCTGTAAACAACAGTGGCGTTATGTTATGTAAACAACAGTGGCGTTATGTAAACAACAGTGGCGTTATGTTCTGTAAACAACAGTGGCGTTATGTTCTGTAAACAACAGTGGCGTTATGTAAACAACAGTGGCGTTATGTTCTGTAAACAACAGTGGCGTTATGTAAACAACAGTGGCGTTATGTTCTGTAAACAACAGTGGCGTTATGTTCTGTAAACAACAGTGGCGTTCTGTAAACAACAGTGGCGTTATGTTCTGTAAACAACAGTGGCGTTATGTTCTGTAAACAACAGTGGCGTCTGTAAACAACAGTGGCGTTATGTAAACAACAGTGGCGTTATGTAAACAACAGTGGCGTTCTGTAAACAACAGTGGCGTTATGTTCTGTAAACAACAGTGGCGTTATGTTCTGTAAACAACAGTGGCGTTATGTTCTGTAAACAACAGTGGCGTTATGTTCTGTAAACAACAGTGGCGTTATGTTCTGTAAACAACAGTGGCGTTCTGTAAACAACAGTGGCGTTATGTAAACAACAGTGGCGTTCTGTAAACAACAGTGGCGTTATGTTCTGTAAACAACAGTGGCGTTATGTAAACAACAGTGGCGTTATGTTCTGTAAACAACAGTGGCGTTATGTAAACAACAGTGGCGTTATGTAAACAACAGTGTCGTTATGTAAACAACAGTGGTGTTATGTAAACAACAGTGGCGTTATGTAAACAACAGTGGCGTTATGTAAACAACAGTGGCGTTATGTAAACAACAGTGGCGTTATGTTCTGTAAACAACAGTGGCGTTATGTAAACAACAGTGGTGTTATGTAAACAACAGTGGCGTTATGTAAACAACAGTGGCGTTATGTAAACAACAGTGGCGTTCTGTAAACAACAGTGGCGTTATGTTCTGTAAACAACAGTGGCGTTCTGTAAACAACAGTGGCGTTATGTTCTGTAAACAACAGTGGCGTTATGTAAACAACAGTGGCGTTATGTTCTGTAAACAACAGTGGCGTTATGTAAACAACAGTGGCGTTATGTAAACAACAGTGGCGTTATGTTCTGTAAACAACAGTGGCGTTATGTTCTGTAAACAACAGTGGCGTTATGTTCTGTAAACAACAGTGGCGTTATGTAAACAACAGTGGCGTTATGTTCTGTAAACAACAGTGGCGTTATGTTCTGTAAACAACAGTGCGTTATGTTCTGTAAACAACAGTGGCGTTATGTAAACAACAGTGGCGTTATGTTCTGTAAACAACAGTGGCGTTATGTAAACAACAGTGGCGTTATGTAAACAACAGTGGCGTTATGTTCTGTAAACAACAGTGGCGTTATGTTCTGTAAACAAAAGTACAGTGGCGTTATGTAAACAACAGTGGCGTTATGTTCTGTAAACAACAGTGGCGTTATGTTCTGTAAACAACAGTGGCGTTATGTTCTGTAAACAACAGTGGCGTTATGTAAACAACAGTGGCGTTATGTTCTGTAAACAACAGTGGCGTTATGTTCTGTAAACAACAGTGGCGTTATGTAAACAACAGTGGCGTTATGTTCTGTAAACAACAGTGGCGTTATGTTCTGTAAACAACAGTGGCGTTATGTAAACAACAGTGGCGTTATGTTCTGTAAACAACAGTGGCGTTATGTTCTGTAAACAACAGTGGCGTTCTGTAAACAACAGTGGCGTTCTGTAAACAACAGTGGCGTTATGTAAACAACAGTGGCGTTGCAGAATTACGTGTTGTTAGGGTGGAACTGAGAGTGTGTTCTAAATCCCAGGACCGATAACTCCATCAAGAACCACTGGAACTCCACTCTGAAGAGGAAGGTGGAGAAGGAGGGCTACCTGCAGGTGCTGCTCCTCCACTCCTCCTCCAGGCCCCCCCGCACTGCCAGCATCCCCAGCAAGGTCACACACACACACACGCACACACACACACACACACACACACACACACACACACACACACACACGCAAGGTCACACACACACACGCACACACACACACACACACGCACACACACACACACACACACACACACACACACACACACACACGCGCGCACACACGCACCCTCTGCAGTGTAGACATCAGAGCTGGGAAGTAGTGGAGTACAAATACTTTGTACTTAAGTACATGTTTCTGGTATCAGTACTTTACTCCACTACTTATTTTTCTGACGACTTTTTACTTCGACTTCTTACATTTTGAACCCAAATACCTGTACTTTCTACTTCTTACATGTTGAACACAAATACCTGAACTTTCTACTTCTTACATGTTGAACACAAATACCTGTACTTTCTACTTCTTACATGTTGAACCCAAATACCTGTACTTTCTACTTCTTACATGTTGAACACAAATACCTGTACTTTCTACTTCTTACATGTTGAACTCAAATACCTGTACTTTCTACTTCTTACATGTTGAACCCAAATACCTGTACTTTCTACTTCTCACATGTTGAACACAAATACCTGTACTTTCTACTTCTCACATGTTGAACACAAATACCTGTACTTTCTACTTCTTACATGTTGAACACAAATACCTGTACTTTCTACTTCTTACATGTTGAACACAAATACCTGTACTTTCTACTTCTTACATGTTGAACACAAATACCTGTACTTTCTACTTCTTACATGTTGAACACAAATACCTGTACTTTCTACTTCTTACACTTTGAACACAAATACCTGTACTTTCTACTTCTCTCATTTCCCAAACAGGCTGGTTCCTTTAGTTTGAATGTGTATTTGGTGGCGTGATCATTATTCTTTAGAGTCATTGCGTGCCTATTGATTTGAACACGATCCGTGTATCCATCATTTCCTGGTCTTCTCTAAAGAAGAGGGACCAATGAAAACGTTGTCATGTTGCCGTTGTTCAGCATGGAAACATTCATTAGCTAACAATGACATTATTGTTCTATTAATATAAAGGGAGGTCAGGTACTCTTTAAAACAGCTGCTAGTTATGGGTACTTTTTACTGAAGTACATTTCAAAGCCTCTTTACTTTGACTTGAGGAAAGAAGTTTAGTCAGTACTTCTACTTTCACCAGAGTATTTTTAAACACGAGTATCTGTACTGTACATACTGTACAGGATGTGTGTACTTTAACATCTCTGGATGACTCCAACGATGATGTGTCTCTGCAGGCGGACAGCGTCTCCACCGTGAAGGACGAGTCGGATCAGAGCCTGTGCTCTGGCGACCCCCCCGCCTCCTCCTCAGGTTACTCCTCCTCACTGAGCATGTGCGAGCTGACGGCGCCCGTGGAGCTGATGGAGGCGGTACATCACACTAATATCACACTGAAACCGCTGTTTTTACAATATCAAAGACCCACAAAAAACTGAGAGGAAATGAATGTTCAGAAACAGCTCATTCAGAAACAGCTCAAAGTGATCTGAGGACGGTCACAGCTCACCTGATGGCAGCTTCACCTTTACATTTGATTTCCAATCAATAAAGCCTTTTGCTGTCAGGTGAACCGACCCGGTGAGAAAGCTGAACAAATCCACTTCCATTTGGATGAACTGCTCCCGCTTTGGCTCGAACACGTTCAGAGTGATTTCACTTTCTAACCTCCAGCCATCTCCAGTGTGGAAACGTTCAAAGTGGATTTAATAAAAACTAGTTTTTTAGAGACGTCAGAGATTCAGATCTATTAGAACATCTCTAAATATAAATAAGATGTGCTTTCACACAGCTGGAGTCATCTTTAATGTTTTCTCTCATGTTGAAGATATATATATAATATATACTCACTGTCTCACCTGGTCTCCCCTGTTCTCACCTGGTCTCCCCTGGTCTCACCTGGTCTCACCTGTTCTCACCTGATCTCACCTGGTCTCCCCTGTTCTCCCCTGGTCTCCCCTGGTCTCCCCTGGTCTCCCCTGGTCTCACCTGATCTCACCTGGTCTCACCTGGTCTCACCTGGTCTCACCTGGTCTCACCTGGTCTCCCCTGTTCTCACCTGGTCTCACCTGTTCTCACCTGATCTCACCTGGTCTCACCTGGTCTCCCCTGGTCTCACCTGGTCTCACCTGTTCTCACCTGATCTCACCTGATCTCACCTGGTCTCACCTGTTCTCCCCTGTTCTCCCCTGTTCTCCCCTGATCTCACCTGATCTCACCTGATCTCACCTGGTCTCCCCTGATCTCACCTGGTCTCCCCTGATGCAGAGTGTGGAGACGTGGAGCTGTGGACAGGAAGTGAGCTCCTCGCTGAGCGGGCTGTACCGAGAGGACGGACACCAGTCAGTCATGGACCTGAGCCGCAGCTACGTAAGAAACCAACCAGGACACAGACCCACACACACACAGACCCACACACACAGACCCACACACACACACAGACCCCACCCACACACACACACACACAGACCCCACACACACACACAGACCCACACACACACAGACCCACACACACAGACCCACACACACACACAGACCCACACACACACACAGACCCACACACACACACAGACCCACACACACACACACAGACCCACACACACACACACAGACCCACACACACACAGACCCACACACACACACAGACCCACACACACACAGACCCACACACACACAGACACACACACACAGACCCACACACACACAGACAGACACACACACACACACAGACCCACACACACACAGACAGACACACACACACACACAGACCCCCACACACACAGACCCCCACACACACAGACCCACACACACACACACACACACACACACACACACCCACACCCACACACACACAGACCCACACACACACACAGACCCACACACACACAGACCCCCACACACAGACCCACACACACCCACACACACAGACCCACACACACACACACACAGACCCACACACACACACACATACACCACACACCCCCCACACCACCCCCACACACCCACATACCCACACACACACACATACCCACACACACACACATACCCACACACACACACACTACCCACACACACACACATACCCACACACACACATACCCACACACACACACATACCCACACACACACATACCCACACACACACACACATACCCACACACACACATACCCACACACACACACACACATACCCACACACACACACACATACAGACACACACCCCACACACACAGACCCACACACACACACACACACACACACACCACACATACCCACACACACACACACATACCCACACACACACCACACACATACCACACACACACACATACCCACACACACACATACCCACACACACACACACACACATACCCACACACACACATACTACACCACATACCCACACACACACACCCACACACACACACAGACCCCCACACACACAGACCCACACACACACAGACCCACCCACACACACACACACACAGACCCCACACACACACACAGACCCACCCACACAGTGTTATCAGCAGTGTCTTCTTCCTACCTGGTCACGGCACAGAGGGAAGCAGAGAGAGCTAAACGAGAGGAAGATATCAGTTAAAGCTGTCAGCTGTTCCTTTAGATCTTAGCGCCAGATGACTTTGTTAGTTTTGATGACATTACGTCTAAAAGTCTGGGCGTTTTATTCTGCTCTTAGTCAAAGACTACCCTAGAATACTGTCAATGAAACTGATTTAGTGTGAGAGTATGGAACCTGTCCTCCTACAAACAGACACACACTGATGTGAAGGACACACACAACATCTCACCTGAGTCAAACCCAGTCAGCTGACCTAACCCCCCCCCCCCTGTGTGTGCAGGTGTTGGGGCTCAGGGAGCAGCTGGGCAGCAGCAGCCAGGACGCAGCCTGCTTCATGGACGCCTCCTCCTGGAGCAGAGGCAGCATGGGGGGGGCTCTGAGCTTCTCCCCCTCTGAGGTGAGGAGCTGAGACTCTGATGTGTGTGTGTGTGTGTGTGTGTGTGTGTGTGTGTGTGTGTGTGTGTGTGTGTGTGTGTGTGTGTGTGTGTGTGTGTGTGTGTGTGTGTGTGTGTGTGTGTGTGTGTGTGTGTGTGTGTGTGTGTGTGTGTGTGTGTGTGTGTGTGTGTGTGTGTGTGTGTCCTCAGCTCTTCAGCCTGCTGGTGTGTGTGTGTCCTCAGCTCTTCAGCCTGTGTGGTGTGGAGGATCTGAAGTCACAGCGTCCGGTTCTCACCTCGACCCCCGTCTGCGCCCGCAAACACCCCAGCAGCCCCTCCCAGCAGGAGGGCTCTCTGACCTGCAGCAGCCGGTGCGTCTCTGAGGATCTCACACACTCACACACACAGTCGCTCATTTACAGGACACACACACACACAGTTCAGAGTGAAGTCTCAGAGGGCAGGGGTCACCTGGTGGATCACTGTGGCTGCAGGTGAGCTCACTACCTGTTGGTGTGGAGAGAGGAGGAGCCTCGACACAAACATATATCTTTGTCACTCTGTCAGGATTCCTTTCCTGAAACTGCACCACGTTTATCTCAGAGTCTTTCCTTGTTTCCGGTTTAATCTGAAGACATATCAAAGGTTTCTTTTCATAAATCTACATTTGAGATGTTCAGACCAGTCTCTGATCAGCTGATTTGTGTTCAGGACCCCGGCAGAGACCAGAGAGCGGATCAGAGCGCTGTGGATGTCTGCTCCTCAGACCCCGACCCCCCTGAAGATCAGCAGGAAGGGTCCGGATCAGGTGAGGCTCTGTGAGGGTACAGGTGCTGCCCCCCCCCCCCTGCTGTGTGTTAGGTTGTGTGACTGTGTGTTAGGTTGTGTGACTGTGTGTTATGTTGTGTGACTGTGTGTCATGTTGTGTGACTGTGTGTCATGTTGTGTGACTGTGTGTCAGGTTGTGTGTCATGTTGTGTGACTGTGTGTCATGTTGTGTGACTGTGTGTTATGTTGTGTGACTGTGTGTCATGTTGTGTGACTGTGTGTCAGGTTGTGTGACTGTGTGTTAGGTTGTGTGACTGTGTGTTATGGTGTGTGACTGTGTGTCATGTTGTGTGACTGTGTGTCATGTTGTGTGACTGTGTGTCAGGTTGTGTGACTGTGTGTTAGGTTGTGTGACTGTGTCAGGTTGTGTGACTGTGTCAGGTTGTGTGACTGTGTGTCAGGTTGTGTGACTGTATGTTAGGTTGTGTGACTGTGTGTCAGGTTGTGTGACTGTGTGTCAGGTTGTGTGACTGTATGTTAGGTTGTGTGACTGTGTGTCAGGTTGTGTGACTGTGTGTCAGGTTGTGTGACTGTATGTTAGGTTGTGTGACTGTGTGTCATGTTGTGTGACTGTGTGTCATTTTGTGTGACTGTGTCAGGTTGTGTGACTGTGTTAGGTTGTGTGACTGTGTGTTAGGTTGTGTGACTGTGTTATGGTGTGTGACTGTGTGTTAGGTTGTGTGACTGTGTGTCAGGTTGTGTGACTGTGTTATGGTGTGTGACTGTGTGACTGTGTGTCATGTTGTGTGACTGTGTGTTAGGTTGTGTGACTATGTGTCAGGTTGTGTGACTGTGTGTTAGGTTGTGTGACTGTGTGTCAGGTTGTGTGACTGTGTGTCAGGTTGTGTGACTGTGTGTTAGGTTGTGTGACTGTGTGTTAGGTTGTGTCAGGTTGTGTTACTGTGTGTCAGGTTGTGTGACTGTATGTTAGGTTGTGTGACTGTGTGTCAGGTTGTGTGACTGTGTTAGGTTGTGTGACTGTGTGTTAGGTTGTGTGACTGTGTGTCATGTTGTGTGACTGTGTGTCAGGTTGTGTGACTGTGTGTCAGGTTGTGTTACTGTGTGTCAGGTTGTGTGACTGTATGTTAGGTTGTGTGACTGTGTGTCATGTTGTGTGACTGTGTGACTGTGTCAGGTTGTGTGACTGTGTGTCAGGTTGTGTGACTGTGTGTTAGGTTGTGTGACTGTGTGTTAGGTTGTGTCAGGTTGTGTTACTGTGTGTCAGGTTGTGTGACTGTATGTTAGGTTGTGTGACTGTGTGTCAGGTTGTGTGACTGTGTTAGGTTGTGTGACTGTGTGTTAGGTTGTGTGACTGTGTGTTAGGTTGTGTGACTGTGTGTTAGGTTGTGTGACTGTGTGTCATGTTGTGTGACTGTGTGTCAGGTTGTGTGACTGTATGTTAGGTTGTGTGACTGTGTGTCATGTTGTGTGACTGTGTGTCATGTTGTGTGACTGTGTCAGGTTGTGTGACTGTGTGTCAGGTTGTGTGACTGTGTGTTAGGTTGTGTGACTGTGTTAGGTTGTGTGACTGTGTTAGGTTGTGTGACTGTGTTAGGTTGTGTGACTGTGTGTCATGTTGTGTGACTGTGTGTTAGGTTGTGTGACTGTGTGTTAGGTTGTGTGACTGTGTTATGGTGTGTGACTGTGTGACTGTGTGTCATGTTGTGTGACTGTGTGTTAGGTTGTGTGACTATGTGTCAGGTTGTGTGACTGTGTGTTAGGTTGTGTGACTGTGTGTCAGGTTGTGTGACTGTGTGTCAGGTTGTGTGACTGTGTGTTAGGTTGTGTGACTGTGTGTTAGGTTGTGTCAGGTTGTGTTACTGTGTGTCAGGTTGTGTGACTGTATGTTAGGTTGTGTGACTGTGTGTCAGGTTGTGTGACTGTGTTAGGTTGTGTGACTGTGTGTTAGGTTGTGTGACTGTGTGTCATGTTGTGTGACTGTGTGTCAGGTTGTGTGACTGTGTGTCAGGTTGTGTTACTGTGTGTCAGGTTGTGTGACTGTATGTTAGGTTGTGTGACTGTGTGTCATGTTGTGTGACTGTGTGACTGTGTCAGGTTGTGTGACTGTGTGTCAGGTTGTGTGACTGTGTGTTAGGTTGTGTGACTGTGTTAGGTTGTGTGACTGTGTTAGGTGTGTGACTGTGTTAGGTTGTGTGACTGTGTGTTAGGTTGTGTGACTGTGTGTTAGGTTGTGTGACTGTGTGTTAGGTTGTGTGACTGTGTGTTAGGTTGTGTGACTGTGTGTTAGGTTGTGTGACTGTGTGTCAGGTTGTGTGACTGTGTCATGGTGTGTGACTGTGTGTTAGGTTGTGTGACTGTGTGTCAGGTTGTGTGACTGTTATGGTGTGTGACTGTGTGTCATGTTGTGTGACTGTGTGTTAGGTTGTGTGACTATGTGTCATGTTGTGTGACTGTGTGTTAGGTTGTGTGACTGTGTGTCAGGTTGTGTGACTGTGTGTCAGGTTGTGTGACTGTGTGTTAGGTTGTGTGACTGTGTGTTAGGTTGTGTCAGGTTGTGTTACTGTGTGTCAGGTTGTGTGACTGTATGTTAGGTTGTGTGACTGTGTGTCAGGTTGTGTGACTGTGTTAGGTTGTGTGACTGTGTTAGGTTGTGTGACTGTGTGTTAGGTTGTGTGACTGTGTGTTAGGTTGTGTGACTGTGTGTCATGTTGTGTGACTGTGTGTCAGGTTGTGTGACTGTGTGTCAGGTTGTGTGACTGTATGTTAGGTTGTGTGACTGTGTGTCATGTTGTGTGACTGTGTGTCATGTTGTGTGACTGTGTCAGGTTGTGTGACTGTGTGTCAGGTTGTGTGACTGTGTGTTAGGTTGTGTGACTGTGTTAGGTTGTGTGACTGTGTGTCATGTTGTGTGACTGTGTGTTAGGTTGTGTGACTGTGTGTTAGGTTGTGTGACTGTGTGTTAGGTTGTGTGACTGTGTGTTAGGTTGTGTGACTGTGTGTTAGGTTGTGTGACTGTGTGTCAGGTTGTGTGACTGTGTCATGGTGTGTGACTGTGTGTTAGGTTGTGTGACTGTGTGTCAGGTTGTGTGACTGTTATGGTGTGTGACTGTGTGTCATGTTGTGTGACTGTGTGTTAGGTTGTGTGACTATGTGTCATGTTGTGTGACTGTGTGTTAGGTTGTGTGACTGTTTGTCAGGTTGTGTGACTGTGTGTCAGGTTGTGTGACTGTGTGTTAGGTTGTGTGACTGTGTGTTAGGTTGTGTCAGGTTGTGTTACTGTGTGTCAGGTTGTGTGACTGTATGTTAGGTTGTGTGACTGTGTGTCAGGTTGTGTGACTGTGTTAGGTTGTGTGACTGTGTTAGGTTGTGTGACTGTGTGTTAGGTTGTGTGACTGTGTGTTAGGTTGTGTGACTGTGTGTCATGTTGTGTGACTGTGTGTCAGGTTGTGTGACTGTGTGTCAGGTTGTGTGACTGTATGTTAGGTTGTGTGACTGTGTGTCATGTTGTGTGACTGTGTGTCATGTTGTGTGACTGTGTCAGGTTGTGTGACTGTGTGTCAGGTTGTGTGACTGTGTGTTAGGTTGTGTGACTGTGTTAGGTTGTGTGACTGTGTGTCATGTTGTGTGACTGTGTGTTAGGTTGTGTGACTGTGTGTTAGGTTGTGTGACTGTGTGTTAGGTTGTGTGACTGTGTGTTATGTTGTGTGACTGTGTGTTAGGTTGTGTGACTGTATGTTAGGTTGTGTGACTGTGTGTCATGTTGTGTGACTGTGTGTCATGTTGTGTGACTGTGTCAGGTTGTGTGACTGTGTGTCAGGTTGTGTGACTGTGTGTTAGGTTGTGTGACTGTGTGTCAGGTTGTGTGACTGTGTGTTAGGTTGTGTGACTGTGTTAGGTTGTGTGACTGTGTTAGGTTGTGTGACTGTGTTAGGTTGTGTGACTGTGTGTCATGTTGTGTGACTGTGTGTTAGGTTGTGTGACTGTGTGTTAGGTTGTGTGACTGTGTTAGGTTGTGTGACTGTGTTAGGTTGTGTGACTGTGTTAGGTTGTGTGACTGTGTGTCATGTTGTGTGACTATGTGTCATGGTGTGTGACTGTGTGTTAGGTTGTGTGACTGTGTGTTAGGTTGTGTGACTGTGCGTCATGTTGTGTGACTGTGTGTTAGGTTGTGTGACTATGTGTCATGTTGTGTGACTGTGTGTTAGGTTGTGTGACTGTGTGTCAGGTTGTGTGACTGTGTGTTAGGTTGTGTGACTGTGTGTTAGGTTGTGTCAGGTTGTGTTACTGTGTGTCAGGTTGTGTGACTGTATGTTAGGTTGTGTGACTGTGTGTCAGGTTGTGTGACTGTGTTAGGTTGTGTGACTGTGTGTTAGGTTGTGTGACTGTGTTAGGTTGTGTGACTGTGTGTTAGGTTGTGTGACTGTGTGTCATGTTGTGTGACTGTGTGTCAGGTTGTGTGACTGTGTGTCAGGTTGTGTGACTGTATGTTAGGTTGTGTGACTGTGTGTCATGTTGTGTGACTGTGTGTCATGTTGTGTGACTGTGTCAGGTTGTGTGACTGTGTGTCAGGTTGTGTGACTGTGTGTTAGGTTGTGTGACTGTGTTAGGTTGTGTGACTGTGTTAGGTTGTGTGACTGTGTGTCATGTTGTGTGACTGTGTGTTAGGTTGTGTGACTGTGTGTTAGGTTGTGTGACTGTGTGTTAGGTTGTGTGACTGTGTGTCATGTTGTGTGACTGTGTGTTAGGTTGTGTGACTGTGTGTTAGGTTGTGTGACTGTGTTAGGTTGTGTGACTGTGTGTCATGTTGTGTGACTGTGTGTCAGGTTGTGTGACTGTGTGTTAGGTTGTGTGACTGTGTTAGGTTGTGTGACTGTGTTAGGTTGTGTGACTGTGTTAGGTTGTGTGACTGTGTGTCATGTTGTGTGACTGTGTGTTAGGTTGTGTGACTGTGTTAGGTTGTGTGACTGTGTTAGGTTGTGTGACTGCGTGTCATGTTGTGTGACTGTGTGTTAGGTTGTGTGACTGTGTGTTAGGTTGTGTGACTGTGTGTTAGGTTGTGTGACTGTGTGTTAGGTTGTGTGACTGTGTGTTAGGTTGTGTGACTGTGTGTTAGGTTGTGTGACTGTGTGTCAGGTTGTGTGACTGTGTGTTAGGTTGTGTGACTGTGTGTTAGGTTGTGTGACTGTGTGTTAGGTTGTGTGACTGTGTGTCAGGTTGTGTGACTGTGTCATGGTGTGTGACTGTATGTTAGGTTGTGTGACTGTGTGTTAGGTTGTGTGACTGTGTGTCAGGTTGTGTGACTGTGTGTTAGGTTGTGTGACTGTGTGTTATGTTGTGTGACTGTGTGTTATGTTGTGTGTCTGTGTGTTAGGTTGTGTGACTGTGTGTCAGGTTGTGTGACTGTGTGTTATGTTGTGTGACTGTGTGTTATGTTGTGTGACTGTGTTAGGTTGTGTGACTGTGTGTCAGGTTGTGTGACTGTGTGTTAGGTTGTGTGACTGTGTGTCATGTTGTGTGACTGTGTCAGGTTGTGTGACTGTGTGTCAGGTTGTGTGACTGTGTGTTAGGTTGTGTGACTGTGTTAGGTTGTGTGACTGTGTGTTATGTGTGTGACTGTGTGTCAGGTTGTGTGACTGTGTGTCAGGTGTGTGACTGTGTGTTAGGTTGTGTGACTGTGTGTTAGGTTGTGTGACTGTGTGTTAGGTTGTGTGACTGTGTGTTAGGTTGTGTGACTGTGTGTTAGGTTGTGTGACTGTGTGTTATGTTGTGTGAGTGTGTTTGTGTGTTTGTGCTTCAGGTGTCGGTCTGTCCGAGCAGAGGGACCAATCCCAGCTGGGAGGAGAGGAGCGTAGACCCTGACAGTCAACAGTCCAGCAGCAGCTCTGAGGTACACAGACCTCAGATTAAACTCTGTATTTAATGTGAGGGTTGACTGCAGCACTGAGGGGGGGTCAGGTCTGACTTTATTAAACCCTGAGACCCTGTACCTCTGATCTGATTGTAATAATTCTAGTAATAGTTCTCTGTTCAGGACGTGTGGGGTCAGACATGATGTCAGTCTGTTGTCATGGTCAGCTGATCCATAGAGCAGGGGTAGACATTAACGCAGCTTACACACGGCGGCGTGCGTTGAAGCTTCAACGCTTCTGCCCATTCACTTTGAATGGGGTGACGTCACGCTTCGCCGAACTGCATTGTGGGAGTAAAGCGTAGCTTGTACTAGCCAATCGAATCATATGCCAGTACAAGCTCTAGCCAATCAAACCGCGTGCTTGTGTGTCCGGGGCGGGAGATTAATGTGATTGGTTGTTGGTCGAGTTTCAGACACGCCCGCCGGCAAATCACTGGCCCCACAATTGTAACTACATTACTACTTGTACTACAACATTTGATTCATCAGTTCTTCCTCATTTTCCTCAATTGGTTTACGGCCCGTCTCCACAGCAGCGTTAAATAAATCTTGAAACGCTTCTGCCCATTCACTTTGAATGGGGTGACGTCACTTTCCCTCACTTTTCGCCGAACTGCATTGTGGGCAGGCGAGCGGAGATTTTCAGGATTTTGAGGATTCAAAGTTGAACAATGTTCAACTTTTGAGGCTGAGGTGGAAGCGTCAGCCAATCAAATCCTGTGTACGCAAATCTGACAGTTCAAGCTCTAGCCAATCAAACGGCGTGTATGCTGGGAGAGACATACCGCAGGTCATTTCCTCATATTCCAAAACATGGAGGAGAAATTAGCGGTAGGGAATCACCCGGTGCTTTATGACCAGACCTACCGGGATATAAACCGGAGGAGCCAGGCATGGAGGGAGGTGGCAGAGACAGTGGTAGGTCTTCGCCTGTTTGGGGAGTTTATATCCAGTTTACTTCGGGCTTTTTTGCTTCGAATGTCGCGGGCGGGAGATTCATGTGATTGGTTGTTCGTGCCTTGCTCGCAAAAAATCCTCAAGCTTCAGATACGCCCACCTCCAAGATTTTTTTAACGCTGCTGTGTGGACGCTCCGTTATTCAAATTATTATATTGTTGTCATTGTTAAAGAAAAAAAGGAGAGTGACATTTCTGCTATGAGTATTATTATTTGTATAATGCGCTTTCTGCCTTCCTGTCATTATCAGGAGTTAGACATGTAATGGCTATGCAATAGATTAGATTATAACCTTCATTCTCCTGCTGGGACATTTCCCTGAAGCCAATACCTTTATATTTGTTCTACTCTTCACTTACTTGTCATAGGTCGGCGTTGATGTACAGAGCCGACAAAAGACCTTGTTTATATCATCATATTGAAGCCAACTCCATCCATCAAGCTGGCTGAAACTTCCTCTCCCTCTTCTTCTCCTACTCCCTGTCACTCTCCTTTAACTCCTCTGGTGACTTTCTTTTATTTGAAGGTTGTTTTTTGCCCGGCGCTTGGCCGGTTACCGCTGGTATTAAAAACATTTTGGCGAATGGTTAGGTGGTGCGAAAGTCTGTAGTGCACGGGAGCCTGCTCGCGCTGCGCTACACTCCGCAGCAAACAGCTGTTTGCTTTTCACCCAACAACGACAACCGCTTCACGAAACGCTATGTTGTAGCGTTAATAAACAAAACAATTTTACAAAATTGCTTGTCAAAATACCAACACCACAGGACCATGTGATTTTATGTCTTACTGTTTATTTGTTTTTTTTAACCTGTTACGCACCGCCCCCCCCGGTACCGGGCGGATACACGCGTCATTTGCAGGAAACAACGTCTAAGGAATCTTAATATTTAATAAACTATGAATGTTTTATATCCATGTAACGGGAAGAAACTCAGCTAACTGATCTTTTAAAAAAAAACAAATAAAAAAAAAAACACAATGCTAACACTCAGCCTCTGAATTAGCCACGAGCGAAAAAATGTAACCTAAAACTGCACTTAAACTCACAATAACTCCCTTATTACTTATCCTAGATGCACAGCCAACCACTCGATTAGCATCAGCTGGAGACACTGAATCTGGGGGTGCCCTCCTCAACACTCAGTGATAAACATTTGCGACGCTATAAACGAAAGCGTACATCAGAACATGTGGAGCTAGGTAGCTAGAAACGCTAACATGGCTTACCTTGGTCAAAACTGGTCTTCAATGGCATTAAAACGATAAACGATGCTGCAGTTAATCCATAGGTTAATCCAATGTGTCTGTGTCCTCTTTGAAATGATTTCTGATAATCCATAAGCAATAAAACTGCTTTTTAGTTTCCAAATGTCAGAGCTAGAGATAGGTCCACTCTGCTGCAAAATTACATGCGCGCAGCCCTCACCTCTTCTCTTCACAACGTGTGTGTGTGGGAGACTCCCCCTTCGATTCTATTGGCTCTAACGGTCAGAAAGAGGTGTCAACCATCAAAATCGACCAAGGGGGGCCAGAGATATGGGAAAAAAAACATTTTCACCCAAATCACCTCAGAGGTGGAGTGGTTTTGGCTAAACCTCTCTAAAAAGGTCAAATGTCACTTGTTTTGCATCAATCTTGATACAGGGTACTTATTATATGTTGTACTTTGGACTCCTAAAGCTTTAGTCTACTAACCCATCATCCAAGGGTAGTTTTCACTATCTGTACAAAATAATATTTGGACGGACACTATAATTTACAGTTTTTTACTATGTAAAATCTGAATTTTCTTTAAAATAAAAAACATTTATATTGATTCTGACTTTTCTACACCCAACTCACAGATGTAACCTTGCTTTCATAAAATAAATTATTCATATAACCCTTTTAGAAGTTAAGTTGTAGTCATTTGTTTTGGGCATGTCATTTTCGAGCCTGAAACATGAAAAACAGGCTTGGTGCTTAACAGGTTAAAGCAATATTTGTAATGGCCCGAGCGGGCAAGTGGAAAGTACGTTATGCTGGCCCGGGGGGTCTAAATATTGCTTCCGGGCCAGCGGGCCATTTATAATGTCTAGTCCTGCATAGAGTCTCTGACACTCTTGAGCAGTCTGGACTTTAATCTTTAGACCAACCCTAGTAGTCCTGCAGTCCTGGAGAACCCTCAGAACCACAGGAATAATGTGTCTGTTCTGAAGAACCGCAGATCAATGCTCAGTTCTGTCCTTTATTCTCTGGGGTCTTCCCTGACAGCAGGGGGTCTATCTGACAGAACCTGGATCTGCTCAGTGTTGGTTCAGTCGTGTGTGGTGCATCAGTCTTTATAGAATATATTCAAGTAGCTGAACCTGTTGAAGCGGTTCTGGTTGAGGCCGGTCTAAACTGGCCCTGATTGCTGTTGTGGTGCAAAGGGGACACAGTAACAGGACTGTGAGTCAGGAGTGATCTGGTTCTGTGGACTTCTGTTCCCCAGGTCCAGGGAGAGAGTCTGCTGAGCTCCATCCTGCAGGTCCAGAGAGGGTCCAGCTCCACCTCAGAGGTCCAGAGAGAGTCCTGCTCCACCTCAGAGGTCCACAGAGGGTCTAACTCCACCTCAGAGGTCCAGAGAGAGTCCAGTTGTGTTTCAGAGATTCAGGAGTCCAGCTCAGAACAGCAGGAGGTCCAGAGGGAGTCTGACTCTACCTCAGAGGTCCAGAGGGAGTCTGACTCTACCTCAGAGGTCCAGAGGGAGTCTGACTCTACCTCAGAGGTCCAGAGGGAGTCTGACTCTACCTCAGAGGTCCAGAGGGAGTCTGACTCTACCTCAGAGGTCCAGAGGGAGTCTGGATCTACCTCAGAGGTCCAGAGGGAGTCTGGATCTACCTCAGAGGTCCAGAGAGAGTCCTGTTCTACCTCAGAAGTCCAGAGAGATTCCTGTTCTACCTCAGAGGTCCAGGGAGGGTCCAGTTGTGTTTCAGAGATTCAGGACTCCAGCGCAAAACAGCAGGAGGACCAGACAGGGTCTAACTCTACCTCAGAGGACAAGATAGAGTCCTGCTCCACCTCAGAGGTCCAGAGAGAGTCCAGCTCCACCTCAGAGGTCCAGAGAGAGTCCAGCTCCACCTCAGAGGTCCAGAGAGGGTCTAACTCTAACTCCGAGGTCCAGAGAGAGTCCAGTTGTGTTTCAGAGATTCAGGAGGACTCCAGCTCTGAACAGCAGGAGGTCCCGAGAGGGTCCAGTTCTGTCCCGCGCTGTGAGGGGTTTGGCTGCCTCCCGTTGGATGGACAGCTGGGGGTGTGGTGGTGTCAGCAGTCTGTGGGCTACCTGCACTCTCCAGAGTGTCCGTCATACAGAAAGAACCCCTTTGAGGTAAGGCCCGCCCCTAACACCCCAGCACTTCCTGTTCTGTGTTTGTTTTCATGTTCCCGGCTCCATGAGATCCCAATCGCTCCAGGAGTCTCACGATGTCTTTGAGAGCTTCACCACATCTCTTCTTTAGAGAACACTCCTGGCCGCTGAAGGTCTCTCTCTGCTCTCTTAATACTGCTCCAGATCTCTCCTCCAGATCCCCTTCAGCCCCCCCTCAGGAATCTCTTATGGCGCGTTTCCACTACACGGCCTCGCTCGGCCCCGCTCGGTATGGCTGGGCCTCGTTAGGACTGGCTCACTTTATGGCGCATTTCCATTACAGTTTAGGAACTGGGGTAGTAACTATAGTAACGCAGTGTAGGCGGAGCCGTGACGTCATCTTCAATGAGAACCCCAGAAAAACAACACAGCCGTTAGCTGTTAGCACTCAGAGCTCACAGCTCCTCATATCTGTTCAGAAACTAGACAAAAGTTAAACAAGTACAAACCACAGACTGCCTGTGTCATGGTGAATACAGTCGCTGCTTTATTTATGTCTGTATAGGCCGTTGTTGTGAGTGTGGACGGTCGGAGCATATACTGCGTTAGCTTAGCCAATCTCCATTTAGAAAACACGCATTTTAAAAGGTGTTTCTCCTGCCGCCTGTCTGCAGACTTGACAAAGCATTAATTCATGGTTTTTACTAACCGGTATCAGTATGTTGTTACTTCGGCATCATTTAGAAACGTGTATTACAATTAAATCACGGTCAAATATGTCCATCTTGTTGTAGTTGTAGCCCCCTTGCCAGCGATGCTCTCTCTAGTTTAGCATACTCAGCCCGACTCAGCCTCGTTGTCTCTGGCCCTAGACCCACGATTTTATGAGGCCAGAAAAACTGTGAATTAGGACCCGCCGGCCGGTACTAGGCCAAGTGGAAACGCAACCAAAGACGGGCCGCTGACGTCACAGCCCTCTTAAACCGTGCTCCGCGCTGTAGTGGAAACGCGCCATTAGTGAACCAGACCAGACACGGCAGGGCTCTGATCTCTGAGCCTGGTTATATACCAGATCCTACTGCTCTCACCCCTTTGACAGACAGGAAGGCCCAGTTCCAAACCGCCCCCTACACCCTACCCCTACACACTTCCCCTCTGTTCGCGCAGAGGGTCCTCCACATTAAGGTGTGTTCCAAACCAACGAGTGTGGAGGGGGAGTGGCTTATCAAGCCCTCCAGCTGAGAGTCTGCATCGGTCCTGACTTCACCTGCTCTCTACCTGACCGACCAACGTGTGTGTGTCCGTCAGGAAACACGCTGTGTGTGCCCGTCAGGAAACACTCCGTGTGTGTCGGTCAGGGAACACTCCGTGCGTGTGTGTCCGTCAGGAAACACGCTGTGTGTGCCCGTCAGGGAACACTCCGTGTGTGTCGGTCAGGGAACACTCCGTGCGTGTGTGTCCGTCAGGAAACACTCCGAGCGTGTGTGTCCGTCAGGAACACTCCGAGCGTGTGTCGTACCCGTTCCAGGAAACACTCCGTGCGTGTGTGTCCGTCAGGAAACACTCCGAGTGTGTCCGTCAGGAAACACTCCGAGCGTGTGTGTCCGTCAGGAAACACTCCGTGCGTGTGTCCGTCAGGAAACACTCAGAGCGTGTGTCCGTCAGGAAACACTCCGTGCGTGTGTGTCCGTCAGGAAACACTCCGTGCGTGTGTGTCCGTCAGGAAACACCCAGAGCGTGTGTGTCCGTCAGGAAACACTCAGAGCGTGTGTGTCCGTCAGGAAACACTCCGTGCGTGTGTGTCCGTCAGGAAACACTCCGAGCGTGTGTCCGTCAGGAAACACTCAGAGCGTGTGTCCGTCAGGAAACACTCAGAGCGTGTGTCCGTCAGGAAACACTCCGTGCGTGTGTGTCCGTCAGGAAACACTCCGAGCGTGTGTCCGTCAGGAAACACTCCGAGCGTGTGTGTCCGTCAGGAAACACTCCGTGCGTGTGTCCGTCAGGAAACACTCCGAGCGTGTGTCCGTCAGGAAACACTCAGAGCGTGTGTCCGTCAGGAAACACTCCGTGCGTGTGTGTCCGTCAGGAAACACTCAGAGCGTGTGTGTCCGTCAGGAAACACTCCGCGTGTGTCCGTCAGGAAACACTCCGAGTGTGTCCGTCAGAAAACACTCAGAGCGTGTGTGTCCGTCAGGAAACACTCCGCGTGTGGCCGTCAGGAAACACTCAGAGCGTGTGTGTCCGTCAGGAAACACTCCGTGCGTGTGTCCGTCAGGAAACACTCAGAGCGTGTGTCCGTCAGGAAACACTCCGTGCGTGTGTCCGTCAGGAAACACTCAGAGCGTGTGTCCGTCAGGAACACTCAGCGTGTGTCCTCCGAAGCGTGTGTCCGTCAGGAAACACTCCGAGCGTGTGTCCGTCAGGAAACACTCCGAGCGTGTGTCCGTCAGGAAACACTCCGAGCGTGTGTCCGTCAGGAAACACTCCGAGCGTGTGTGTCCGTCAGGAAACACTCAGAGCGTGTGTCCGTCAGGAAGGAAGGGAAAACACTCCGTGCGTGTGTCCGTCAGGAAACACTCCGAGTGTGTCCGTCAGGAAACACTCCGAGCGTGTGTCCGTCAGGAAACACTCCGTGCGTGTGTGTCCGTCAGGAAACACTCCGTGCGTGTGTGTCCGTCAGGAAACACTCAGAGCGTGTGTGTCCGTCAGGAAACACTCCGTGCGTGTGTGTCCGTCAGGAAACACTCCGTGCGTGTGTGTCCGTCAGGAAACACTCAGAGCGTGTGTGTCCGTCAGGAAACACTCCGTGCGTGTGTGTCCGTCAGGAAACACTCCGAGCGTGTGTCCGTCAGGAAACACTCCGAGCGTGTGTCCGTCAGGAAACACTCCGTGCGTGTGTCCGTCAGGAAACACTCCGAGCGTGTGTCCGTCAGGAAACACTCAGAGCGTGTGTCCGTCAGGAAACACTCCGTGCGTGTGTGTCCGTCAGGAAACACTCCGCGTGTGTCCGTCAGGAAACACTCAGAGCGTGTGTCCGTCAGGAAACACTCCGAGTGTGTCCGTCAGGAAACACTCAGAGCATGTGTGTCCGTCAGGAAACACTCCGTGCGTGTGTGTCCGTCAGGAAACACTCCGTGCGTGTGTCCGTCAGGAAACACTCCGTGTGTGTCCGTCAGGAAACACTCCGAGCGTGTGTCCGTCAGGAAACACTCAGAGCGTGTGTCCGTCAGGAAACACTCCGTGCGTGTGTCCGTCAGAAAACACTCAGAGCGTGTGTCCGTCAGGAAACACTCCGAGCGTGTGTCCGTCAGGAAACACTCCGAGCGTGTGTGTCCGTCAGGAAACACTCCGAGCGTGTGTCCGTCAGGAAACACTCCGAGCGTGTGTGTCCGTCAGGAAACACTCAGACCGTGTGTCCGTCAGGAAACACTGCGTGCGTGTGTCCGTCAGGAAACACTCCGTGCGTGTGTGTCCGTCAGGAAACACTCCGTGCGTGTGTGTCCGTCAGGAAACACTCAGAGCGTGTGTGGCCGTCAGGAAACACTCAGAGCGTGTGTGTCCGTCAGGAAACACTCCGTGCGTGTGTCCGTCAGGAAACACTCAGAGCGTGTGTCCGTCAGGAAACACTCCGTGCGTGTGTCCGTCAGGAAACACTCAGAGCGTGTGTCCGTCAGGAAACACTCCGAGCGTGTGTCCGTCAGGAAACACTCCGAGCGTGTGTCCGTCAGGAAACACTCCGAGCGTGTGTCCGTCAGGAAACACTCCGAGCGTGTGTCCGTCAGGAAACACTCCGAGCGTGTGTGTCCGTCAGGAAACACTCAGAGCGTGTGTCCGTCAGGAAACACTCCGTGCGTGTGTCCGTCAGGAAACACTCCGAGTGTGTCCGTCAGGAAACACTCCGAGCGTGTGTCCGTCAGGAAACACTCCGTGCGTGTGTGTCCGTCAGGAAACACTCCGTGCGTGTGTGTCCGTCAGGAAACACTCAGAGCGTGTGTGTCCGTCAGGAAACACTCCGTGCGTGTGTGTCCGTCAGGAAACACTCCGTGCGTGTGTGTCCGTCAGGAAACACTCAGAGCGTGTGTGTCCGTCAGGAAACACTCCGTGCGTGTGTGTCCGTCAGGAAACACTCCGAGCGTGTGTCCGTCAGGAAACACTCCGAGCGTGTGTCCGTCAGGAAACACTCCGTGCGTGTGTCCGTCAGGAAACACTCCGAGCGTGTGTCCGTCAGGAAACACTCAGAGCGTGTGTCCGTCAGGAAACACTCCGTGCGTGTGTGTCCGTCAGGAAACACTCCGCGTGTGTCCGTCAGGAAACACTCAGAGCGTGTGTCCGTCAGGAAACACTCCGAGTGTGTCCGTCAGGAAACACTCAGAGCATGTGTGTCCGTCAGAAAACACTCCGTGCGTGTGTGTCCGTCAGGAAACACTCCGTGCGTGTGTCCGTCAGGAAACACTCCGTGTGTGTCCGTCAGGAAACACTCCGTGCGTGTGTCCGTCAGGAAACACTCAGAGCGTGTGTCCGTCAGGAAACACTCCGTGCGTGTGTCCGTCAGAAAACACTCAGAGCGTGTGTCCGTCAGGAAACACTCCGAGCGTGTGTCCGTCAGGAAACACTCCGAGCGTGTGTGTCCGTCAGGAAACACTCCGAGCGTGTGTCCGTCAGGAAACACTCCGAGCGTGTGTGTCCGTCAGGAAACACTCAGACCGTGTGTCCGTCAGGAAACACTGCGTGCGTGTGTCCGTCAGGAAACACTCCGTGCGTGTGTGTCCGTCAGGAAACACTCCGTGCGTGTGTGTCCGTCAGGAAACACTCCGAGCGTGTGTCCGTCAGGAAACACTCAGAGCGTGTGTCCGTCAGGAAACACTCAGAGCGTGTGTCCGTCAGGAAACACTCAGAGCGTGTGTCCGTCAGGAAACACTCCGTGCGTGTGTCCGTCAGGAAACACTCCGAGCGTGTGTCCGTCAGGAAACACTCAGAGCGTGTGTCCGTCAGGAAACACTCCGTGCGTGTGTGTCCGTCAGGAAACACTCAGAGCGTGTGTGTCCGTCAGGAAACACTCCGCGTGTGTCCGTCAGGAAACACTCCGAGTGTGTCCGTCAGGAAACACTCAGAGCGTGTGTGTCCGTCAGGAAACACTCCGCGTGTGTCCGTCAGGAAACACTCCGTGCGTGTGTGTCCGTCAGGAAACACTCCGTGCGTGTGTGTCCCGTCAGGAAACACTCCGTGCGTGTGTGTCCGTCAGGAACACTCAGAGCGTGTGTGGCCGTCAGGAAACACTCAGAGCGTGTGTGTCCGTCAGGAAACACTCCGTGTGTGTCCGTCAGGAAACACTCCGTGCGTGTGTCCCGTCAGGAAACACTCCGTGCGTGTGTGTCCGTCAGGAAACACTCCGAGTGTGTCCGTCAGGAAACACTCCGAGCGTGTGTCCGTCAGGAAACACTCCGTGCGTGTGTCCGTCAGGAAACACTCAGAGCGTGTGTCCGTCAGGAAACACTCCGAGCGTGTGTCCGTCAGGAAACACTCCGAGCGTGTGTCCGTCAGGAAACACTCCGAGCGTGTGTCCGTCAGGAAACACTCCGAGCGTGTGTCCGCAGGAACACTCCGTGCGGTGTGTCCGTCAGGAAACACTCCGTGCGTGTGTCCGTCAGGAAACACTCCGTGCGTGTGTGTCCGTCAGGAAACACTCCGAGTGTGTCCGTCAGGAAACACTCCGAGCGTGTGTCCGTCAGGAAACACTCCGTGCGTGTGTCCGTCAGAAAACACTCAGAGCGTGTGTCCGTCAGGAAACACTCCGAGCGTGTGTCCGTCAGGAAACACTCCGAGCGTGTGTGTCCGTCAGGAACACTCCGAGCGTGTGTCCGTCAGGAACACTTCCGAGCGTGTGTGCCGTCATGGAAACACTCAGAACCGTGTGTCCGTCAGGAAACACTGCGTGCGTGTGTCCGTCAGGAAACACTCCCGTGCGTGTGTGTCCCGTCAGGAAACACTCCGTGCGTGTGTGTCCGTCAGGAACACTCCGAGCGTGTGTCCGTCAGGAAAACACTCGAGCGGTGTCCGTCAGGAAACACTCAGAGCGTGTGTCCGTCAGGAAACACTCAGAGCGTGTGTCCGTCAGGAACACTCCGTGCGTGTGTCCGTCAGGAAACACTCCGAGCGTGTGTCCGTCAGGAAACACTCCGAGCGTGTGTCCGTCAGGAAACACTCCGTGCGTGTGTGTCCGTCAGGAAACACTCAGAGCGTGT